CCGCACGTGATCAGGCTTCATCAAAACAATCGAATTAAGCATAAGGTTTAAAGCATTAAAACCTTATTGTTAGGGTCAGATTAGGGTTAGGGAAGGACTTAGCATATACTAAAATTTTGCAAGTAATTTTTTTTCATATACGAAAATTTGAGTTATCGACGATTTTTTTGAAGAAACGTGAATTTCACGTTACACCTGATATTGTGATTTGATTGGTCACCATCACGTGCGGGAAAGCCTTATAATTTACGATTTATATTAGGAATAGTAAAATCATTTTCATATTATGCTTTAGATATACCATTCTGTCAAATAACTTTGGCTCTAATAACGTTCTTTTCGCACTCATAACATTTCCTGCATCTGAAAACAAGCGTGTGCTTGTTGCAGGAATTGCAAGAATTTTCGGGCCATTTCACTTATTAACGTTCGAAATCAAGCTCAGGAAGAGCAAGATAATTTGTAACTTCGTTATTATCTTGGTTTTGTGAGCTTTATGAAAAACAGATTTAATGAACCCTTTATGGTAAGTTTGCTTTCATTTCAATTGGTTACATAAACTAATTTGGATGTCGATGAAGTAACTTGTTTAGATAAATAGTGCGCTTCTTAAATTCTTTTCTGCATACATAGCACGTAAAATTTCTTCAACTTGATTTCGCTCATCAGTTGATAAAACATATAATCTTTTGCATCTTGGGGCCAATTGAGTTTTTTTTAACAATGTCAACTTGAAAAAATTTATTAAATAAACTTTATGAAGTGGTTATTTATTAATCAATCAAAAATTTATCACTATCAAAACATATAGTTAAATTTTAGGGGAATTTACAAATAAAGGCCCGGAAAGTAAAAATAATTACAAATATGGGCCCAAATTAAAAATAATTACATATAAGGGCCTAATTTTTAAAAAATATTACATATAAGAGCCCAAAATAACTGCGATATTATTCAAACCTGATCATCATTAGCATAAGAATGTAAGCATCGATAAATGTAGTTATTAAGCGCATAAAAAATTTAACGATCGATTGTAAATTGGTAATTATAAAACTCTAGAGAGCAACTCTGTTGAAACTACTTCGTCTTATAAATAATTATGCAGTTTAACGCTATTTTTTATACACTATTTAAACGAAAATTGTTATAACCAGCATTTCATTTATCCTTTTATCCAATAATAAGTATATAGATAACTCTAAATGCCTATAATAAAACAATCTGTAATCCTATAACCGTGATTTTGCAATCGTTATGGTCATAATACTTTGCGGCGCAGTAACCCGTGATCACATTTTTTTTTTCCAGCCAAAATTTGGCCCTTATATGTAATTATTTTTAATTAAGGCCTGTATTTGTAATTATTTTCACTTTCCGGACCCTTATTTGTAAATTCCCCTAAATTTTAATTTGACTGATGCTCGATGATTGACTGAGTTTAAAACTCGTTGAATAAAGTTTATTTCGATGTTCGAAATTTTCGATCGATGTTCGAATAATTATTCACCGATTCCACTCTCTACTATTTATTGCAACCCTGACCAAATATAAAAGTTAATTAAGTTAGTATAAAATTTTTTATTAAAAACAAATATGTATCACAAACATATACAATGTAATATGGAAAATTTTAGTTAAATTTGATAATTTTAGATTTAAATTCTCTAGAATTTAAAAATTTTATAAAATTTGAGTTGATACTTGAAATTTTGTGAAAATTTTATGTCTAAAATTTTGCGAGTCCTTGCCCGACGGCCCACTTCTCCGACAGCCCATTTCCAACAGTTCAGTTCGCCCACAATCCTATTTTGCAGACTTCCTATTTCACGACCTACCTCTAGCCAACACTAACTATAAAGCGGGCCAAGCCTAGGTAACCCAAAATTGTCGACGAATGTCGATGAATTGGGTTGTCAGAGAAGTGAGCTGTTGGCGAAATGGCCGTCGGTGAATTAGGAGTCGATGAAATTGGGATGAAACCTTTTAATATTAGCGCAAATCGTGTAATATGGTTATTATTATTAGAGTCAAATTTATATTCTGTCGTGTTTATATTTCTTGCTAAGATTTATTAGCTGACAAAAGTAGTCTTTCCACAAATTTTCGTACAAACTAAACACATTAAACGTGTTGGACAAGTATTCGATCGAAATTTTAATCACGTTGACATTACCGTTACTAAAATAGCTTTTATTATACGGATTATGCCGAAATCGCGTACTTATCCGAATCGGCCGAAAAATCATTTAGCTAATTTTATCAGATGTTCCAAAAATTATGATAACAGTTGTAATTATTATTGCTCGATCAAATTTTTATTACGAAAGAAAAAAACAAATGGAATTGGGATCGCCACCACATAGTACTTCGAAGAGGATTGTTACATTATGCTTGCTTCTTTCTGTCTGCTCGTACAAACAAATTATTGCTTGTGACCATCATCTTAACAGGCCACATCTACTAAATAATTATCGCGGAGTTATACAGTACTGGATATTCTGAAGTGGGTTAGTCATGGCAAAAAAAAGTCGCGAATACGTAATCAGCGATCTCTTCCGGCCTCGTTGACGTAGCCTGATAAATCATGTTACACGAAAACTATATCAATATATTGACTTCATTAACTCTTAATAAATTATATTAACTGTTAATAATAAATTATAGGGTAAATTATATTAACTGTTAATTGATTAAATCTATGAAAATTTTGTTTTGACATGTTAATTAACGTTCAAGTATAATGTATACTAATAAATCGATATATGATAATATGTAGAGAAAGCGAAATTTGATATTTAACAATTAATATAATGATTAATAGCACGCTAATATATAAAGACAAAAACTTGTATAAATTTTAATATCGTACTGTAGTTAAATTAATGCATTTTTATGTTTTTAATTAATCAGTTTATATAAAAGTAAAAAAAAGCTTGTAAAATTTAAATTAATTTGTCAATTATTGCAAAATAAAGTATTACTCAAAATTTATTAAGCTTGTTATTGCGCTTGTTATTGCACTTAATATATATAAATAGTGCCACATTGACTCAAAAGTTTGTCAATAGTTATACTATACACGAACTTTGATAAATAGCCTTCGATAAAAATTCTCTAAATTAACTAAAACCTCTAAAGTGTTTGTTTTCCAAATTGAAAATATCTACTTCTGACATTCCAACTCACGATCTTAATGATCCTACTTCTAATATTCCAACTCACGATCCTAATGATCTGACTTCTAACATTCTTACTAATGACCTAACAATGAAACTGAGTGGTGTTCTCACTGCAAACAATTTAGATTAGCTAATAAATTTATAAGATCCAGTAAAAGTACAAGTAAAATTAAAAAATTTGCAACATGTAATTACTGTTCTGAAAATGATAGAATAATAAGAAGAGAAAAACAGCATAGAGACATATTACCTGACGATAGAAATACTCCTGAATATTGAAGTGCTTACCAATGATAGTAATAGTGAAAGTAGTGCGGATAATCTAATTTACAACATAAGTGATCTCGAAGAACTTATAGCCCTCAAATTTAGAGAATATGAAGAACTAGAAACCAACGTTAGTTTTTCAGTAATCATAGAAATTGAAAATGAAATGGTGGATCAAGAAATTATGTCTTTGGAACCTGGTAAAGATATAGAAAATAAAAAATTTCGTACTATAACAAAAACATTGCTTATACCTATTCAAGAAGGATCCAGATACTATTAGGAAATTTGTAATTTATATCCTAATATAAAAGATGGTCAATATGTAGGATACGCAACAGCTTGTCTATATTGCACTCAAAGGTAAGATTGCAAATTTTATCACCTAAAAAATTTATATGAAAAACATATAAAATCTTTTTTATAAACATTCAAAAAAAACTTGCCAATAATACAGTAAAACTTTATAAGTGCATTCTCTATAAGTGTACACCTACTTTATATGTATACTCAAACTCAGATTTAGCTATATAGATAATCTCATAAATGCACTTTTTCTTATTGTTCTCTAAGTGCATATCATTAAAGTCTGGTCCCAAGAGCATGTGCTTATAGAGGTTTACTATATAATCAAAATATTAAAATTTTGCAAAATTTGACCAGTAGATTATGAACCCAATTAAGTTTGAATCACTGTATAATCCTTTATCTTTCTACTTATCATCTAACACATCATAATATTGTTTTAAATTTTTTTCTAAATGCGTTTTGCTTTTTTGTCAATATTCCTCATCTAATATTATATCTTTTAATTAGAAATTGGAACTGCCTAAAATTTTTCTTAATCATTTAACCGTTTAATTTGGCTAGCATTAAAATAATTCTAGCTCACGACTAACATAATTCTGCTTGGAACTATAGAGCAATTTTTAAATGATTAAACAGTTTCAATCTCTACTTTTAATATTATATTAGGAGTTTTGTCTCTAAAATGTTCATCAAGCTCCTTCTGAATCTGTATATCCTAAACTAAAAAATTTAATTAATTAAACTAATTTAATTAATTTATTATTATTAAAAGATCTGATCGCGAATATAAAAGCCTAGATAACTAACCTGCAAAGCGTATAAGTGAAGCATAGCCTGCCATTCAATATTTTTTATATGAGAGTGTAATAAAAATTAAAATAGATTTATGTAAAAAAAGCAATAATATTCATAAACCATTTGGCTCATGAATGTTCTATATATAAGAAAACAAAATTATCTGATAATGCCATAATATGAATACAACAAAATATTAGTAATATTCTATAAAAAATTGAGTTCTATAAACAGCTTTGTAATAAGAATTTGATTAATTCATCTTTACATACTTATCACCAAATATATTATTAGATATACAAATTCTCATTAAATCAATATATAACTGATATTGAAAATCAGTTAAATTCTGCAAAAAATTTTTTAGAACAAAAAGAATTAAAAGATGAAGGGTATAAAGTTATTTTATGCTATGAGAATGAGTTTGTGTGCATGCTTGGCTTTACCACTCCATTTCTACAAACTCAAGAAAATATTACTGAAATTATTATTGACTCAATATTTAAGACAAACCAGAAGCGGTTTGAACTCTTTGCTATAAATATTAATTGTGGTGAGTATGGCATTCCTCTTGTATATCTATATGTAGATACATATACTGCACCAGGAGAACGGCTCTTAGATCCAAGATATATTTTTGTATATTAAAATATTTCTTTTATTAAAAATTTAAAATTTTACTTTTAAAATTTTAAAATTTAGCAATAAGATATATACAAGAGTTGGTGTACTTACCAAATTTTTTAAAAACTTGCAGAATAAATACATTCTATTTATTTTTATGCTATTTGACAAAGATACTAGAGAGATTGCAGCTGTTCATAAGGCTTGGTCTCGAACTACAGTAATCTATCTTTGCCTCTAATATATAAAACGCACAATTAAATGCAAATTAAAAGAAACAAAAGTTAGATAAGTATAGGTTAATTTTTATTTAATTTTTTTTTAATAAAAAATTTACTATATTCTCACATAATAACGCATAAAGTGTAATTTTTGAATTTTGGCATAAATTAAGCTTAATTCAGGTCTAAATTTGAGTTAACGCTTATGGGCATTATTACATGAAAATATAGTAATTTTTTAATTTTTTTTTTTTAATTTTTTTAATTGTTAATTTTTTCTTTTTATTTACTTTTTTTAAATAAAATTTAAAGAAAAGTCAGTATATGATGCAGAAAGCAAATGAAGCATATTATCAATTTGATTTCATCAAATCTATATAGATTCCTAACGATTAACAGAATATTGTCGTATGCTTAAGGAATTAGAAGAAAGGTTATTAAGAATGATTATAAGACATTCTATATTATTATCAGCAAAATTTTTTAGATGCTATATATCGATAGTAATCCCCACATTACAATTGATATATAACCCCCCTGTTGGGTATCATCGCTAGTAATTACTAATGATATATAACAAAAATTTGTTAAATTTCTTTAACTTTTAATATTAATTTTCTTAATAACTACTAATCCAAATTAGCTCAAATTTTTACTATATATAAGTTATATATTCAACTATAATATAGTTAAATTTAGCCAATTTGAATAAGTAGTTCTTGAGAAATCGTTTGTTCATGATAGTTAATTTTTTTAAAAAAATTAACTATCATTAACAAATGATTTCTCAAAAACTACTTATTCAAATTGGCTGAAATTTAACTATATTATAGTTGAATATATAACCTATATATAGTAAAAACCTAAGCTAATTTGGATTAGTAGTTATCAAGAAAATTAATGTTAAACTTTGAAAAAATTTTATCAAATTTTATAAAATCATTATTAATCGATAGTGATTATAATCATTATTAATCATTATATATTAATAATCATTATATATCATTAGTGATATATATAGATATATAGCAATTAATCGATATATATTGATAATTTTTAATCGATATATATCAATTAACTGCTATATATCGATAGAAATCTGCTTAAAATTTTGCTGATAATATCTCTTTATACTAGTAGGCAAAGATGTTTTTCTTACGGCAGAGCAGATTCAGTATCAAAGTATTCTAGAAATCTACTAATTCTGTTATCAAAATAATCTTAATAAGCTATAAAAATATTTGTAGACAA